GTTTCTCAACATATGAGAAGAATTTATTTCGGGATACTATGGTACCCAATATAGAGTAAGATTATATCCTCCTTTTGGTGTATAGTATTTTATATAAGGAATATAGTCTTACTGGGTTTAACCACCAAAAAAACACTACTCAGGAAGGAAGCCCATGAAGTAGCTGCCTCGCAATCGGCACAGGCCTCCTGTCCTCAGAGTCGAAGTTGCAAAGTCCTTCTGGGCGGTCCATCTGCTGTTCAGGGTAACAGTAATAGTTACAATAATAGGTTGTCAAAACAAAGAGAAGAAGAGTATTAATAGTAGACGTAGTATGAGTAATATTTGTAATAATAGTAGTACTAGTAATACATAACAGCAATAATCGTAATAAGAGTAATAGTAGTAATACTAATAATTAAATGGTAAGAATAGTACTGTACAAAAGGTGTCGTATCATTCTAGTGGCGATGAGGGATGAGCTGGAACTTGTGGGACCCCGCTGAAGAGCATATGGGGGTTTCCTAAAATTTGGGGTACCTTTTTGGGGGGCCCTATAATAAGGATTATAGTATATTGGGGTCTATATTGGGGTCCCCTTATTTTGGGAAACTACCATATTGATTCACAGAAGCCGCCGCCCGGATCACAGCAACCCCACATCACACTTGCCTTCATGGCTTGTACCACTACAGTAGGTGGGGTTTAGGGTTGATGATTTAGGGCTTAAGCGCTTTGGCATTTGGTTAGCACAAGTCTGTGCGTTGCTGGGTTGCTGGTCGTTGCTTTCCGTGTCCCGCAAAGATGAACCTGTACGCAAGTGGAAGGTCAGCGAGTTCAGCAGCGCCCCTCGCGAAACTGGGTTGCAGTTAAGAAACTTCTTAACTAAGTTACAACTTCAAGGAGCCCGTACTATTTCAAACATATCCACATGATCAGCGCTTTTTTCCGCTAGTCTTCAGGTAATTTGTTGGCGGCACAAAACTTGAGATTAATATCAAGAATGTGCGCGGAACCCTGGCCGCGGAAGGTTTGTGGAAGGGAATGTCTTTGCGGAAGGTGCCTTTAAAGTATCCCATGAGTAAGAGATACTTCGCGGAAGCGAAAAGTTCGCGGAGGCAAACTTTGGCGGACGCCAAAGTTCGAGGACGCTCTAGGCCACGGAAGGGTTTCGCGGAAGGTGAATTTTTTTCCGTCAAAAGGATTTTAAGTAGCACAACAAAAACCATTGCCCATAAAACAGCAAACCCAGGAAAGCTGGATTGTCCGCACAGTCAACCATGCCTGGTTCGATGGCTTCTTCTCTATTGTGGTGCTCCTTGGCATGGACTCATTTGCCGAGGTCCAGTGAGAAATGGGGTTAGATAGGGGTATTATGTGGGGGTGTGTAGAAGAGGAGTAGGTAGGGGTTTCGATTCAGGGGCCTGAATGATGACAATCGATAATAAAGTGGAAGAGAACATCAAAATTCAAAGGAGGTTTAGATAGGGGTCGTCAGAATAGTTACCATGTATCCCTGGCTTGATAGCCCTGGCAGCTCTCCTCAAAACTAAGTTCTCAAACTAAGCAAGCCCGGACCCCAAGGTCATAACGTCCGCTGTTTGTACCATTGAAGACCTCACTTCCGTGGCATCTAGTCACTTGCAAACGTACCTTCGTGACCCTCCAAGTAACTAGGCTTCACCAACTTGTGGGCGGAGTAGCAGACATGCAAACAGTGCACTTCCCGGAACAGAGGGTCCCCTGGAAACTAGGGAACATATTAGGGTTATAGTTCATAATGGAAAATAAAATGGAAACTACTATAATGGGATATATAGGGGTTATATAGGGCTAACCAAGCTGGAATCCAGAATGCCCGAAGCTAGCACCCTACCCCTCGCAAGGGTAACCAACTCCCTGTTCATTGGCGTCGATGTGGAGCTGAATCCTTCAGCGATGGCAACGCGCTCCCCCATCATTGTGGCCTGGCTCACTGTTTTCGCGGCTTCAGAACTCTTTAGGTTATCAGTGATTGGAGGCCGAACTGGGAGCAGTGTTTTTCTTAACATCACTTGCAGTGATGTTTCCTGTTGTTGTCGCTTTTTGTTGGTCTCACCTTGTGCTAAGCTGCTGGAGCTTTATAGCTATGGTAGAAGCATGCTCGATCGGTCTAGCATACCTGAGGGGAGTGGAAGCCTAGGAAATAGCCAGTAGGTGTGCCCGGCGAAAGGACCCCACAAGCTATTTGTGGCATGGGAGAATCCAAGGTGTTCGACGAGTGCGCCTGTGTGTTAACACATTTAAGCTAAACCCCTGCACTTACAAGGACAGGATAGGTGAAGATTTTGAAGTTTGTCCCACGTAATCCAGGTTTGAAATCCTCCTAACACCCTTGCACATCCCGCAGGTCCATGAGCGCCGGCTGTTTTGAGAAACCTTAAGCCTAGATCTGTATACGGCTTCATGGAACACCCCCGACAGGATCCTGCTGGCTGAGCCTACTTACCATTGTTTTGGGGGGACTGTAGGTATTGTCATGTTAGGGCATGCGTGGAGATTTTGAAAGGGATTAGCTTTCCCCATCCAGCACAAGCACTAGTAAGCCTAGGGCAAGAATCGCAGGAAATCTTGCACAACAGGGTTTAGGGCTCAGGGTATGGTGGAAGTGGTGAGTGGTGTCCAAAATGGTGGAGATCCTAGGGCCTCAGGCTCTTCATCCACCATATGAAGCCCTGCTGCAACCGCTTTGTTGGGGTCTGGGCTTGGGAAATGTATCCTTTTTCCGACAACTTGTTTCCTAAGGCGAAAGCTGGATGAAGGTAGAAGGGCCTTGACATACAAACTGTCAGACAGGTAGCATCCTCGACCCTAAACCCTATATAATCCCGTTATAGTAGTTTCTATCGTGTCTTTTCCCATTATCCCAATTTTTACAGCCCCTATAGTTTCCAATTTCTTTCCCATGATCAACGTGTAGGGTCAGGGGTTCAACAGGTCGAGACATGCCGGTACAGTCGAAGGATGATACTCGTACCTTTATAAACCACCAAATGTTCACACAGTGATTCTTTGATTCACAAAACCTTGATAGGATTCCTGGAATAACCCACCAAGATCCACATCACTGTGGAGTTTCTCGCACGATCCCTGTGTAGTCATGCTAACAGACCCGGAAAACTCATCATCTCATCACATCTCTGGGGCTTCCAGGGGCACCCCACGTTGAGAAATCCTACCATGGCTACCCAGGTGGCAATACAATACTTCTATACATTTCTTTTTTGCGCAGAGCTCGTCTTTCGCGCGGCTGCGATGGGCAGAGAATATTTCTGTGGAAAGGAGTCCCGCTGAAGAAAGGGTTTTGTGGTTTGGGATTCGGGGTCTCAGGCTTCGTTGACGGGGCTGGGAATTCTGTAAGTAGGGTTTAGGGGTCTTAGGCTTGGGATGGCTTAGCCTAAACCCTAAACCCTCCATCCGTAGGACCTTAGGAATGCTTAGGAACATCATTGCCTTCGAGTCAAGTTTCAGCAACTTGCTTGCAGACCACTTTAAAGGATCATGCTTGCAACTTATGCTGTTATGGCTACTACAATTAGCTTAAGGGGTAAACGCAAGCCTAAACCCTAAATAGTAGTTTCCATTTTATTTTCCATTATCCCAATATAACACCTATAGAACCCGCTTTCAAACGCCCCCTTCGCCCAGGCTTGATTTGGGTTTAGGGGTATAGGGTTTAGAGATTAGGGGTTTAGGGTTTGTGCTTCATCAACTCCACTGGGTGCAAGACAACTGGATTGCTGTTACAGCTGTTAAAGGTACTTGAGGTAAGTTACTATAAGACCATAATACGGAACCCCTAGTATTTACTATATACCCATGTTATGATAACTTTTTCAAAGCTCCTGAACAGCATTCCAGATATGAGGCGGGAATCGAAGCTCCGGAGGCCTAGCTTCAAACCTTCTTCTTCCCCTCGTCCAAGTCACCTCCGGTCACCTAGGTTAGTTTTGAGTTTCTTGGGTTCACAAGGTTCGTCCAAGGTCTGTTAGTGGCCAAATCATCGGGGAGCCCTCTATAATTACTTCTGCTGTGTACTAGTATTCCTGCCGCCATCGGGGCTCCAAGAGCAAAAGCAACTACTACTGCTACACTGCTACCCTGCCATGCTGCCCCACTGACACGCTGCTAAACAATTACGGCTACTGCCACTACTATGATGTTAGCATTGATGTCATGCTAGAAGTCTGATCCTCAATCCTTTCTGATGATTGCTGATCCGAACAAATATTTGACATTGGGTGGTGTGGGGCTGTTCGACAATTCTGAAGCTCTTCAGGAGGGCAAGGCTTGCTAAGTCCTTGAAGAAGAGCCAGCGCTCAACACCTCTGCGGTTGAAAAGACAGCAGGAAACTAGAATGATCTTACCCCTACAGCATGTGATGTACTTGCAGCTGTGGCCATTACTGTATAACACTGGGGTGTATTGCAGCATTGCACCCTAAGATCTTTTCGTTCAGTCCGTGCAGATTCAGGAGTAATATGATCTTGCTGTATGTAGCTGGCCCCACAAAAACCATACCAGGAATCATCACGAAACTGAGCGCTAGTCATAACCACAGCGTCACTGGTAAGTAACGGTCTGTAGGACTGACACCCATCATCCTGAACACAGTTTCTGAACCTTTCAAAATATGGCGTGTGGTCAGTTCTTGGTTCTTTCCCATCTGTCTTGTAGCAATACACGCTGTGTGGTCATAAAGTAGACCTGGCAATTTGCGGCAGGAGTGGTTGTGGGCCGCTCTGGACGTTTTCATTGTCATGACCTCCCTGTGGGAGGTCTTCGTAGATACATGGTATGCCGTCGTCGCAGCTCGGCAAGTGCCAAAGCTACAGCAGTGAATGATCAGCCTGTTCTAGTAATGTTGGACCCTGTTTAGTATGTACGCCCCCCCCCCCAAACAATTTTAGCACCCTGAATCAAGAATTGTTCGAGG